AATATACCACAATCTACATTATACAATAGCTTTTCTCTTCATATTTTACTATCTCAATCAATATTTCCCTTGATAATGTCTTTTGTTGTCAATTATTTCAATTATTTAACCTGTTAGTAGTCTGTTACTATGCCTTATAGTTTGCTATATTTTAATACCAGCTACAAAAAATAAAATTGGTGTATAATAAATAAAATTAAATGGAAACTAATAATTGACCTGGTATTAAATTTTGATGGAATTAATTGTCTACATACGTAATATTTTTGAGAGAACAGATTTTCATAAATCTAGTTAAATAAATTATATTAGATAAAACTAATTTGCATGTTATATACTTACTTTTTAAACTCATGGCCTTATGGATTGTAGTTTAATTTACTTGCATGATATCTATTAATCACATTGTTTATCAAGAATATTCTGTAGTCAAACAATTATTGTTATCTGCATTTGTTTATAATTTTAATTATTTATTACCTAAAAATAATAGTTAATTAATTAAAATTGTGTATTAAATTTTTTATACATATAATTAGGTGCATCTAATGTTGAAGTTGGAGATGTTTCTGAACGTTTAGCTTTGAGAGAAAAGTTAAAATGCAAGTCTTTCCGTTGGTACTTGGAAAACATTTACCCTGAGTCTCAAATGCCACTTGATTACTATTATCTTGGAGAAGTCAGTAAAATTAAATTACATTAGAYCACTGTTTAATAATTAATTTAATTTGTTTAGATAAAAAACGTAGACTCTCAACATTGCCTTGACACCATGTCACGAAAAAGTGGTGAAAAAGTTGGCATGAGTTATTGTCATGGTCTTGGTGGCAATCAAGTAAACCAATAAGTTTGTTTATGTATTAAATTTTATGTATTAATCTTATTAAATGTTTACAGGTTTTTGCATATACTAAACGGTCACAAATTATGTCCGATGATAATTGTTTAGATGCTTCCAATATTGTTGGACCAGTTAGTTTAATTAGATGCCATGGTCTGGAGGGTAATCAAGCATGGGTTTATGATTCAAAGGTAAATTAAATTTAAACAATTTTTTTAAATACTGATTATTGATATCTAATAAAATAACATGAATATAATATTATTTGGCTAATAAATACATTTTTTTCAGGAAATGACAATAAAACATAAAACTACAGATCAATGTCTAGAACATTCAATGTCTGCTGATCAGTATGCTGCCATATTAAATGAATGTGATGGTTCACGTAGCCAACAATGGACAATGAAGAGTAACTTTCACTGGCAAGCTAGCTCAAGATAACGTAATCTAATTTTTACTTTTTATTTTAATCAAGTGTTATTCGTTTATGCATACATATATACATTTTGGGGATCAAAATATTTACTTATAAGTTCTTATGAACAAAAAAATCTTCTTATATAATAAAATAAAAATCTTTTATACTTTTGAACAAATTAGATATAACTTATGAAGTCCATGACAGTTTAAAAACACTTATAATAGAATTATAAAAATCTACTTGGTGACTATTTATCCCTGCCCACAATATTATTATCTTAATGAAACCACTTATATTTTTAACAAGATAAAAAGATTCAGTGAAAACACTTGTGATATTTATATATTATGTTATTAGTTATAATTATTATTATATTATATTTTGTATAATAACAAATTATAAAATAAATTTCCCTCCTTATAAAAAAAATAACCGCGTGACTTAAAATTAAAATACATACTAYGATATGTATCAGGTATTTACATCAGTTTTTCTTTTTTTATACAAACAAATTCAAATGTTCAATTCATTTTTGTATGATTAATAGATAATTTTTTCTTCTTTTTATTTAATATTATCATTAATGCTCAAAATTATATCCTATATGGAGTTGTGAGTATAATATATTAATTCACTTTTAATGTTATTAATATTGTATGTTATGTTATGTTCATTATCTTGTGATAACATGGACACTAACAAAAAAAAAAAAAAATGTTGTCATTACTCTATACCACAGATGGCAAACCTATAATAAGTGTGTCACTTAATAACACATGCACACTCTTTTAGTGACACAATTAACTTGTTTTTTTTTTTACCATTAAAGATGTAGTATATAGATATGTTGGATTTAAAAATGGTCTTAAAATTATTTGACACACACGAAAAATAAAATCCAACCAGCATTTTTATTTGACACAGGTACAGAAAGCTTTGCCATCCCTGGTCTATACTATATGTAKTTAATCTAGCGATTTCCACTTGTTATATCCATATTTTTGACACAAATGATTCACTTTTTAAAAGAATGTATATATACAATATATGTATACTTATAAATACCTGCATATAGGATATGTGAGCTTCTCTGTAAATTTAAAACTGATGACTGATCTACTTGTTTTATTATGTATCTAATGAAATAAGGAAAAACTTTTTTATTATGAAATATTAATTTCTCATTTATTTTTTAGATAATAATATATATTTCTTTTTAAGCAATAATAAAATTCCATTTTTAGTTATTTAAAAAATGTATTGGGGTTAGAAGATCAGCTATTATTTAAAAGTTTGCATAAATTAAATTATTTTTATTTTAACAAACATCCTGTCTAAGGAAATGTTTTATGTGTCACTTATATTTTTTTAAATATATATCTTCATTCTTTAATCCTAATTTATCTAATAAGCATTTATTTTTATACTAATTCAATTTGTGTCATGGAATTACCATATCAAATGATCAACTTTGAATATTTGTATATTGTTAATACAACCATTTGTAAAAAAAAATAATTCAACTCTAAATCACTCGTTTATTTCAAATGCACTGATAAATTTCTGTTTAAATATGTTTAAAAAATATAACTAATCAAAAAWATAGACCAACAAAGTAAAAAAATTTTATTGAAAAWAGTCTACTTAAACTTCTATTTTATTAGAATTTGTATGAATGAAATTACTATTATTTAGAAGTGATTGGAAATAACTTAGTAGTGGAGTAAATTAAAATATTCTCTATGGTACCTTGTTTTAAGATTTTAATAGATTTATTATGTATAATATTATGCAGTTAGTTAATCATCCAAGTCATATTATTTTTTATTTTTATGTTCAATGTTTTTTTACATATATATATATATATATATTTGTTTGGCATCTCTTGGTCATTGTAAGTGTGTTGTGTGTATGTATCTTTTATGATAAAAGTTATAGTGACAAATATACCAAGAGATG